AATTGAATCTGCAACTGAAGCAGTTGGTTAGTATGATTTTGACTTTTTGAATTCCAGATGTTCGACTCTTGTCTAATTTAAAATAATGACAAAAGTAAGGAATAAATATTGAGTTTGGCTCAATGACTCCACTGTGCTTGTTCCTTAGTTATGTTATGTCTATATGATGGAAAGCTTTAAGTATCTGTTACTGAATATTTTTTAATTTAACTTTTAAACATGTTAGTTTTATTGTTGTTAAAATGTACAAGTACATAAATGTCATTAACTTAAAAAAATAAAAATAAATTGGCCTTAATTTTTTTTAAGTTCTGCTGACATCCTCGGGTTTACAGTGTGTGTATGGAGGTGTTTTCATTATATTCTTTTGCTTCTTTTTCTAAAAGATAAAATATTTCATCACTTGTCTTTGTCAGCTATTAGAAAATCGTTTTTGGTAATCTAGTAGATATTTATTTAACTATTAAAACAATATTTTTTTTTTACAATTCTTAAGTCAAAGTCATGTCTATTCAGAGTTCAGACAGGCATTACAAATGGTATGATTTAATGGGATTTATTTGCTTAGTCAAAAGTTTCTGTTTCTGTCTTTCTAAAAAAGTCATCACATACCACTGTGTTGATGTCAAAGGAGAATAGCTGGACTGCTTTGGTGTGACAGCAAGGCAACATTAACTAAAATAATCACTTTTTAGAACCAAAGAATGCAGAAGAGCATTTCTGAACATGCAAGACTTTGAAGCAGGTGGGCTACAGCAGCAGAAGAACATGCCAGGTGCCACTCCTATCAGCTAAGAACAAAAAAAGTCTCCAAAACTGCAAAATAAGATTGGAAAAAGATTGTCTCATTGTCTCATCTGATGAGTCTCATTTTCTGGTGTGACATTTCACTGGTAGTGGTGTGTTTGCATGAAAGTACAGATGCACCCTTTCTTGTTTCAGTGGTTCAGGCTGGTAGTGGTGTAATGGTCCTGGGGATATTTTCTTGGTACACTGGGTATCAGCCGAGCATCATTTAAACACCAAAGTCTGCTTGAGAGTTTTTGTTAAACCGTGTCCCTTTATAGCCACTGTATACTCATCTTCTTATGGCTGCTTCCAGCAGGATCCCTCACCATGTCACGAAGCTCAAAACATCTCAAACTGTTACTGGTACTCAAATGACCTTCACAGTTCCAGATCTGAATCCAAGACGGCACCTTTGAGATGTTTTGGAATAGGAGACTTGCATCATGATGACCTGTTGCTTCACAGTAAGAAGGTCCTGGGCCTTTCTTTGTGGAGACTGAAAGTTCTCCTTGTGCAATCGTGGGTTCTCTGCGGGTACTCTGGCCTCCTCCCACAGTCCAATAACAGATGAGGCTTCATCATTAGGTTATTCTTAATTGGCTGTAGATGTGAATGTGATGTGGATGTCTGTCTGTCTTTCTCTGCCAACCCTGTGAGAGACAGCTGACCTCTCTAGGGTGTATCCTGCCTCCGGTAAAGTCTGGAGCTTGAATCATGTAGGAAGAATTAAGGCAGGTCTGAAGGCAAGAGGTGGTCTACGCATAGCTACCAACACATTTCTACGAAAGCTGTCAATGTATAACAAGTATGATTTAAATGGTTATTTCGACTAAAATGAGGACTTATAGAAAACCTGATCTTTTAACTTAAATAGTGAAAAAAACACACTTCCCGGTGTTTAAAATACAGAGCTTAAAATGTCAAATGAAAACATTTTATATATGAGAAAAACTTCCATTGGCATTTAGCACTTGTCTTACCTGTGTGAGGGAGCGTATTCAGTGTAGGAGGACTGGCAGTAAGCACTATACACTCCAGTGGGATTTAGTATCAGAGGTCGTGCTGCAGCCCCTCTCCATAAGAGCAGAACTTTTCACATGAGTTACTCTGATTGGCTCAGACACATCCACTGGGTATGGCATATACAGTCACTGGTTCTGCACTTTGGCAACACGGGGGGAGAAGTTCCAGTAAACTAACCTATGTACTGTCAGTGTTAACTATCTGGGGTCGGGCAGTGTTCAATAAATCCTATTTTTATCATCTGTCCAAATTATCGCAGTGTGCACAACTTTGATAGGCATTATAAGTATTGTGAATGGGGCCAATAAATCCTGATTCTGTCCATTATTCATATAACATACTCATATAACATATTTATATTCATATTTATGCACTGGAAACCTAACAGAATAATTAATTTATATAATTTAATTAATAGGATAAATGTTATTTCACCAGTGCATTTACCTGTTGCTCATTTGCAGATACCAGGACACTGGGTCTTGGGGCCACATGCACTGGAGGCACAGACCACATGGCACTCTGTGCCAGAGATGCATGTGGTCCGACTTAGGGGGGCTAATGTTTACAGCATGATTGTAATGAGACTATAAATTTCTTATCTCCCATCTTCACCTAACCTATGGTGCATGTGATTTTCAAGGACTCATTAATCTTGTAGGCCTGAATGAGATATGATTAACAGTTGTGGAATTTCCCATACATACCTAAGTTTGGTATCAAAATAAAGCTATTACCCCTGTTATCAATTTATTACACATGAACACATGAACATTGTAGTGGAAAACTTGTATTTCAACACA